CAGACTTTTATCGTACGAAAACCACGTCTGCTAAAGGACGCTGCCAGCTGCAAGCAGTAGGAGGCAATAGCGGGCAAAGGAAAAAAGTAAAGGCAAAGCAAAAGTTAATTCAAAGCAAAAGTTTTTGAAAACAGTGATGGTCCCCAAGGACCATCATACTCAAACAGAACATCACCTATTTATAAGCATATTTTCTCCTTTTTTTTTTTTTTTTCAAAAGTTTAGGATTGTTACACTACAGGATCGTTGATGTTTCATATGCATGTTCTAATATCTATTGGTCTAAAGCTATTTTAACTATTGGCTATCTGATTAACAGACTTTCAAGCAAAATTCTTAAGGATAAATCGCCCCTTGAAATTTTGAAAAATAGAAAATTTGATTTGTCTCATTTGCGAGTATTTGAATGCGGGTCGTATATTCATGTGGCTGGGCACAACAGGGATAAACTTGATAGACGTTCCAGTAGATGTATGTTTTTTTGATACTCCTCTACTCAAAAGGGATACACATGGTATGATCCCTCTACAAAAAAAAATGCATATTTCTAGATATGTTCAATTTGATGAAATAAAATCTTATTTCCATGACCCATTGGATAATAGTTTATAAAATAGGACTAAGGGGGGGGGGGGAGGAGGGGTTGTTCAAGTGGTTGTTTGCCTTTGCTTAATATTAGTACAAGTGATGTGCTCAACACACCCGGAATAAGTCATGATGATTAAACCGAAGTTGAAGATACCTTTAAAACTCATCAAGCTGGTTCAGAAGAAAACTCCATCGTGGCCCTACATGACCCCCCCTTGCTCATGGATCTCTCAACTTTCTTCTAGACTCCAAGATTTTTATACTTACCATGCAATTTCTTATCCTATTCAAAGTCAACTTTCCTATAAAAATATCTCTCCTGACTATTTTGCTTTCTTGAGTTCTATCTCTAATAATTCTCAGCTAACTAATTTTCAAGATGCCATTTCTCAAACTGTGTGGAAGAAGTCTATGAAAGAGGAACTTCAAGCACTTAACAAGAACCATACTTCGGACATTATCAAGTTACCTAAAGGAAAGAAAGCAATTGTTTGTAGATGTATTTTTAAAATCAAATATGGTAATAATGAGTCTATTGAGAGACATAAAAGCAAGTTGGTGGCCAAATGATTTACCCAAACTTGTGGAGTTGACTATAAAGAAACTTTTACGCAAGTTGTCAAGATGAATAGTGTTCGGCTATCGCAGTTAATTGTGGGTGGTCTTTGCATCAGATAGATATTAAAAATACCTTCTTACATGATGACCTTGAAGAATAAGTCTATATAAGTCTTCCTCTAGGTCATTCTAAATAAAAGGAAAAAGGTCTTGTATGCAAATTAAACAAAAGAAGAAATTTGACATCAAGGATCTTGGTCAACTAAAATATTTTTTTAGCATTGAAAAAAGTGACTCTTCATTTCTCAAAGGAAATATGTATTAGATCTGTTGAAAGAAATTGGGAAACTAGGAGTCAAAGTTGTTGACACTCTTGTTGACATTAATTGCAAGCTTAATTCAACAAATGGAAAACATCTTGAAGATGTGGGCCGCTTTCAGAGACTTGTGAGCAGATTGATTTATTTGATTGTGACACAACCAGATATAATGTATACGGTTAGTCTTGTTAGCCAATTTATGTATGCTCCTAGATCATGTCATATGAAGGCTATCGATAGGATTATCAGATATCTTAAGTCATCACTCGACAGAGGTGTTTGGTTGAAACGGAATGGTCATACTAATATTATTGGTTATTATGATGTTGACTGGGCAAACAGTCCAATTGACATGAGGTCCACTATTGACTATTGTACATTGGTCAGAGGAAACTTAGTCACTTAGAAAAGGAAGAAATAAAATGTGGTTGCTCGATCAAATGCAGATGCCGAATATAGAGTTATGGCTTCAACTATAAGTGTATTGATGTGGCTAAAATACCTACTTCGAGATATGGGATTCCCAACAGTTAATCCAATAGAGATGTTATGTGATAATCAACCAGCTATTCATATAGCCTCCAATCCAGTTTTTCATGAAAGAACCAAGCACATAGAAGTTGGTTGGCACTTTGTGAGAGAAAATGTTGAATAAAAAATTATTGGTATTCCTTATGTTCGAAGTGAAGACCAACATGCATATATGTTTACCAAAGCCATCAGATATTGTCCAAGTTGGGCTCTATTGATATCTACGCACCAACTTGAGGGGGAGTGTTGAGAGTTATAGAAAGTAGATATTGAGTTTTCAATCTTGTATATTACAAGATATTAAAGTTTCCTATATTGGGTTTCCTATTTTGTGGGATTACTATTGTAATGAGATTCGTTTTCTAAAATGCAAGAGCTATAACTCTATAAATATCTGGTAAATCAGAGTAATCCCTATGAATGAGATATTAGTTTACCCTCCGTGGACGTGGGCAACATTGCCGAACCATATATATGTCATGTTGATTCTTCTTCTTCTTCTTCTCTCTCTCTCTCTCTCTCTATATTTCTTTCATTGCAAATCCTACAAAAACAATGGTATCTAAATAAAAGTAAAAAAATCTCTTTACATAGCATTAGCTTCAAACTCCATTAGTTAATAACATCATCATCGTCGTCAAAGCATTTTCCCAACTAATTGGAGTCGGCTACACGACTCATAAATAGTTAGATAAAGTCTAGCCGTTGGTTCATTTGGGAACATATTGGATTGGGGATGGTATAACGTCCACATCATGTGGATGCTCGAAGGATGCAAAAGCACCATTCAACGGCCCATATAAAATTTGGGCATTCGAGGTGAAAATAGACAATTAACATGGCATTAGAGGCATTCATGCATCGAGCAAGGGAGCAACCAATAATAATAATAAAAAAACAATATTTTAAATAAAAGAACTAACCAAAATACTTCTTAATGTTTCGAGAGTATCTTAGTCATTTTTTTATTTGATTTTTTTAGTTTTTATTGAGTGTGCTCTATGGTGATTCATCTATGCCCAATTTTCATGAAAATAAAATTTGTAAAAATATAAAAATAAAATAGGTAATTAATTTATGAACCTCAGTTCAGCCTAGATTCAATATAGACTGCTAGAAGGATACTTAGAATCCACCAAGTGTCTTGTTTACCTTGAGTCTATACTTTTTCGTTTGGTTTGATTGCTTTCCTTGCTTGAACTCCATTAACACTATTTCATATGGTTTAGTTCAATTGACAAGTAAAACATTTTCTAAATTAAAGATTTGAACTCCATTAACACTATTTCAAATGATTTAGTTCAATTGACAAGTAAAACATTTTCTAAATTATAGATTATTTGGTTTGAAATGACCATGTAAGTTGCCAACGAATTAAAGCATGTGGCATTGTTTTTAAGAAAAAACACAAAGTTGGAGTTGCGAACTTTCAATTAAATAAGACTAGAAATAGATTCCCAACACATTTATTACACCTTATAACTTGATTTCCATTATTTTTCAAAATTTATTTGCACCTTATAGCTAGATCCCAAACAAATTTCAAAATTGATTTACACCTAATTATAGCCAAAGATGAATTGGTGACCTAAGTCGCTAGGAATCGGTCATGCGTTTGTTTGGGTAGTGGTTGACGACAATAACACTGAGCCCCAAGTTCGATCCCTACCACTGAACTACCTCAAAAGAATGGTAAAGTAAGTACTTGAAATCAAACTGCACATGCCAAACCTATAGACTTTCAGGTGGCAAAACCCTAGAAATCATGTTCATGCATTTGTATAGCAAGAACACCCATGTTCTTTCCTTGATGCCTACAAGGCTACAACACAATTTCCACAACATTAACCAGGTTTTAACATAACCAAGGTTTGACATAATAGAGTTTTAATTTAACACCTAGGTTTGTTAATCCATGGAGCCAAACAAGCCCTAAGCATTTTGGTAACCCACACTTATTTCAAATTGGGCTTCCAAACCCAATACATGACTCCTGTGGAGGACCAATTTGGAAGGCACTTTCATCTAATCCCCATCTCTTCATCAACTCCTCACACTCAGCTTTCTCTACCATGGTTCCCTCTATCTTACTCTTGCAAGCTTGAATTGCCTTTACAATCTCCATCTCAGCTGCCTTCATTATGCAATCCAAGTCTAAATCTAAGTCCAAATCAAAGCCCACATTCTCTTTCCCCTTCTTTTCAAAACTTTCACTATTGTTCTCATCAAGCATTCTCAAGAACTCATCCTCAACCTTGCCAATTTCAATCTCAGCATTAGAAGAAGTACCCACAAGCAAACATGGACTCTTAGCCCCTTCTAAAGCAACTTCATTAAATGACTTTTCCAATTCTTCATTCTCAAGTTTCTTGTTCTTCAATTTCATCTTGTTGAGGCTTTTCTCAATTAGAACAAAGGTGGGTTCGGGGGAATTCTCGATCGTGATGTAGTCAGGATCTGAATCAAGAGAGGTGACACGACATGGCCCACCGATCAATGGCGGCGACTTCCTCCTCTGGTTGAAGTTGGGTATGCAAGAACAACAATTGCCTTTCTTCTTCTTATACTTGATGTACTTGTTAAGCGCCATGGTATGTTTACCACCTGCATAGTGGACATGAAAGCAATGCTTAATTTAAGATCGTAAAGAATATTTGTTTTGAAAAATTAGAGTGAAAGAAGAAGAAAAGAAAAAGATGATGATGAGAACATCTGATATAAGAGCATTATACAAGCCTAGATGCACATCTACAAAGGAAAAGTAAAAAACAAAAAAGATAAGCAAGTATTGGTCATTTCGAGAAAGTGGCATTACTTTTATAAAAAAGGTTATATATAATGAAGCATTTACCTTTAATATAAGGAGATCACAATTACTTATAACCAGATGTGAAATCTAATAGATTGGATGCGTTACAAAGTTAAAAAAATTTCTTTTGAAGTTTGAACTTGGTCGATAGAATAAATACAACCATCCAATTTCACATGCAATAGTCGATTAATTGTGACCACCTTGTTCTTAAAGTAAGTAGTCTCATTCTATACTTCTTTATAAAATATGAAAACCAAAGGACAATGGGGAGTTTTTAAGTATTCTTTCATTATTGAAAAGGAGCGAAATTGTGCACAAGCACAAAAAAAAAGACGATGACTCAAACATTAAATTTGTACTCGATCATTACGCAAGTGACATAAGTATACAATATTATGTTGGGTTTGGCCTTTAAAAACCTTATGAGAGCTTGTATGAACATTTTATATAGTGGAACATAAACTCAGTGGGAGTATGGCCTTTTTGTAAACCATACTAGGCAAATGTTATTTGTTGATACTCGGACTAGGCTCGAAGAGCTAGGCCCGTCGAGGTTTGGAAAAACCCAAAATACCTGAGCATAGGGATCTATCGAGAAGGGTTTACTAGGTTATCCCTTGATGAGGTTAGAGTACGCCCAGATGAGAGCCAAGGGACTGTGTGGCTATTGTGTGTAATGAATAGCCTTTAGAGACAGGGTTAAAACCTCATCGTTATATCATCACACGACATGTACATAGATAGCCGTTTTGAGATTCACTAATGAGAGTGAAGCGTGTACATATGCAAGAGATTACCCTTATGCACTATAGAGTCATGGTTGCATCATGGTCTAGAGGATTATGATTTTTATCTTTAGGGGAGAACTTGAAATCCATAAACTAAGATTGCGTCCCCTAGTCTATTGGCTGACTTCGGTGGTCCAATCATGAACCCTTGCAGCAAACTGTGGGTCATGGGAACTGTTGGGTCAGTTTGAAAAAGCTAGGCGAATTGTGATTCACAGTTGAAGGTGGAGTGCTCTAATGTATTGATAATTTCTTTGATCTAACGGATCTGATTCCCATCAAAATTAATTAATTTTACGTTATGTGTTTTTTAGAATGTTTATTTGAATTTTTGTGAATATTCTGATATTTTATTTTTGTCATTTGAATTTATAAATTTTAAAAAATAATTTTTTAATGTTTTGAATAAAATATAAGATTTAAAAAATAAATTAAAAATAAGTATGAAATAAAATATTTTCTAAAAATATTTGGGACCTCCATAAAATATGGAGCCCAAAATTTAAAAGGATGTGGATTAGGTGGGGCCCACACGTGGCCACCAAAAGGCTGGCACACCGCCACCCATGTAACGTTAATGTTTATCTCTTGTTGACTTATCTTTTTAGGTATAGCCAACTTATGTGATAAGGTTGAATATTTTAAATATTTACTAATTCTTTGAATCAAGATTGATTGATCAAAATAAATAAGGATTTGATATATTAAAATATAAGCTTTCTTTATTTGATGGGAATAGGTTTAAGAAAAGGAGGATAAGGCTCTAACTCATCACTATGAATCTTGATGGTGGATTAAAGAAATGGATGACTCAAATCTATCACCCCACAAGTCTCCTTAGATCGACGGTTGAGATTTTACCCTAGGAATTGAGGAAAAATCTATGACATATAAAATCTATAAAAGGTGTTCCCTCATAAAATGAGATACGTATTCTCTTCTCCCTCTTTAACAATTATTTCTCCCTATCGAAAATTCCCCTCTCTTCGACAGGGGAGGCATGCCACAATTTTATCTCTCCCTAAGTTGTATTATGTTTTGATGGTATGCACCACATCTGTTCATTGTAGGTGGAAAAGGGGTGGAACCCCTTGCTAGTAGATCTCTCCTTCTCTCTTCATATTCTTCTCTCATCTCTCCAAAATCAAACTAAGAGGCTTGATGAAGATTAAGCCATTGAGTGAATTTTAGCCATAGTAGGGAAATCAACATACTGATCATAGATCCTGAGCACCATCGGAAGGAGGAGACTCGACATGGGGTATACTAAGCCCGGTTGAGGTAATCTCCGGTAATTTTACTTTTTTTAAATTCTCTTCCTATAAAGCAATAAAATCTAGTTTTGTTTCTTGAATAAAGAATTGTATTTGAAGAGGTAGCAATTGAGAACTGATTTTATTTTTATTTTATTTATTTCAAGAGTGGTTTGATTATAATTGGGAATTGTAAGTGATCTTGCCGGTGTAGGGATAAAGAATTTTTTTAAATATATATACATCGTGCTTTATCATAAAGTCCTTTCATATTAATAATAAAAGGAAAATTTTTAAATAAGGTCCTATTGAAATGGGTCCACTTCTAAAAGTCCATTGTAGTAATGGAATGAAATCTGAAACACATATTACATCATTCTAGATGCATTTTTACCTTAGATATATGATTTTGCAGCTCAAAAACTAGTGCTTATATGTTGACATGCAAATAATTAAAAAGGGAATGGATAAACGATTTAAAATCAAAGGTTAAAATAAGTTGTATTTAAGGATCGAAATTTCATCATCATCAAAGCTTTTTTCCAATTAATGGATCGATTCAGGATTCATGATAAATTTTGACAAAATTTTAGGTTGGCTACCTACCTAACACAACCTCGCCCCTTTACGTGGGTATGTATGAGACAAGTCAAGGGAAGGTTTAAAGTCCTCACCCTTCTTAGACCAATTTAAGGATCAAAATTTATTTTTCTTTTTCCTTTTTTTCTTGTGTTTTTAGATACATAATTGTGGCAGTTGAGATTAGCGGCTTGTAAAATTTTAGGTCCAAAATCCATCTAATATGGATTATTGAAAGAGATTGCATTTGGGAAGGTGCATCACCTGACACACAAAAACAATGCCCACGGATATTGAAAATTGCGTCATTTATAAAGGGGGGTGTTTTGCGATGCGCCTTTTGTAACGAGTCCACACGTCAATATGGTCTTTAGATCCAAATAACTATAGGTCTATCATCTAGACCACCATGATCATGAATTTGCAAAAATAAAATGATTGTTGAGCCTTATTTTTTTGGACTAATTATTTCAATTCTTCAAATATCATTAGATCCATTATGCTTTTGGAGCACCGAATTCATGGATATGAGGTAAAATAGATTTAATGATTTGGAATATGTTTTAAATCCTTAAAAGGTTTAAAACCAAATATATTGCTCCCACCATAGGAGGAAAACCTCAAATTTACCTTAAAACCCCAATCGGACTCCATTTGCAGACTGGCTGGACTGGTAACTTTTTTACGAGATTAAGGACACTGCTGGCAATAGATGTGCAATTTGACCATTTTACAAAAAAACTTACAGTTTAGAAAAGGGTTTCAAATCCAGAACAAGCATGTATATTTTGATAAATTAGCAAATAGTAAGAGTAGGGAAAAATAACCTGAATTATGTCTATTTGATCATAGATTCTAACCTAGAGAAAGATATTTTAGTGGGAAACACTTGTTTTGAGTTTGAAACTTAGATCAAATAGGGGTAGTTTATCATTAGCTCTACCCCTTAAATCAATCCAAATGATGTAAATACCTTTTGCTTATTCTGGTTCTAAACCGAGACAAAGAGATTTTAACGGAAAATATGTTCCTTGTTTAAAACATGGAACGAGCAAGGCATATGTGTCATTTTAACAGAGGCAAGCTTTCTGTGCTTCCCCTACAACATAGAAGTTCTATCCTCCCCCTTATCCAATCCTCCATTCTGAATGGAGGGCTAAGATTGCCCCAACCATAATGTCACGTCTCTACAATATTTTATTTTTAATTTTTTTTTTATAAACTATTTTGACTCCAAATTTTAGAGGTCCATCCCTCTATTAAACTCGCACTAGAGAAAAATATAATTTTTTTTAATAAAATAAAATGACCAACATACCCCTAAAAGTTTTTAGGGGTATTTTGGTCATTATATTTTATTGAAAAATTATTTTTAATATTTTTTATAGGTGTGACCTAATGAGAATATGATACATACCAAATTTCATATTCATTCAATTTGTATAAAAAGAACTAAAAATAAAATACTTTAAGACGTCAGATCTAAGATCAAACGGTGAGTGATTCTCTTGATCAAAATTGGACAGCTGGATGGTAGGGGGAGGATAGAACTTATATGCTGTAGGAGGAGCATAGAAACCTTTCCCTTTTAACAGCCACTCAAGTGGAAAGATAACCAAAATTTCAAGATTCCAAATTTGAAAAAAGAGCATCTCGAGTATTTTAGTGAAATTATATTTTCAACCATTTGTTGTATGTAAATAGGTTCATATTGAAGTTTTGAGGTGGTTTAAATATTTTAAGGATATTTTTCTTTATTTGACGCTTAGTGACAATTATCTGTCATAAATCAAGAATATATTTATTTTCATGATAAAAGCTTTTCCTAATAATAACATGTATGCAATCTGAAAGAAAAATTTAGCCATTTGATTTTCAAAAGAAACATTTTATTTGCCTAAAAAGCTTTATAAATATCAACAAGGAAAATAAGGAGCAGTTCGTACGAAACAGATGATAGATATGTAAGTTATAACTATTGATATAGGTAATGAATTTTAATTACACTAGTGGCACATTTGGTTCATGTGAAATTGTTTTCTAGAAAATATTTTTACACGAAAAATTTCTCTCATATGATTAAATGCATGAATATTTTCATACCATTTAGTCTTAGTGCAAAAGTATTCCCACACTTACCTACATGAAAGAATATTTTCATATGAAAATGTTTTTCGAAAAATAATCTCACGCAAACCAAACGTGAGCTAGTAGAAATTATTATTTACTTTGTCACTTGTAAACCTTTTAACAAATTTATGTTTTCTTAACTTGAATTCATGTTATTAATCTCAATAAAAATGTATTTTATAACGAAATATATTTAATGTAATACATTAAAGTTTCGATAATCATCAGATAAATTAATGTTTTAAAAGACGAACACGATAATATTCTATTAAAAGTCCATCCTTGATAACATCCCGATAATGATGATTGTCCCTTCAACTTTATGGTAGTTTTGTTCTTTTTTTAATAAATAAAAAAACATAAAAGTGCAATATGTTATCTAATGGGTGCGGTTTTTTATTGTGATACCTACATATGTAACCGCTATTACCAGGATGCCTGGAATAACTTTAGTTATAATGTCACAAGTTATCCTTTAAGCATCCGATTTTGAAGAACGACTCAAGAGTATTTTATTTAAAAAATTATTTTGATATGGCAATTGGGGTGTGCCCGCTCCTTATATGGGCACACCTAAAATAATAAGAAAAATATTTCTAACTATTAATTTCTATTTTATGGCATTTGGGGCCCCTCTTTATCGGTGCTTTTAATCATTTTATTTGATCAAAATATTAATTTCTATTTTAGTTATGTCAACCCTAGAAGGAATGTTACAACCTAAATTTCATGTCTAGATAACCTTTATAAAAATAATTTAAAGGAAAAAGTCTACATAAGGTTGCAACTTTCAAATGTACAATTACAGATACACCTAAAAAATCCATCAGAGAATGTTGTTGTTTAATGTTGAAAAACTCTCTAATTGATCATCTCAACATCAAGATGAATGAATATGAAAAAAAGAAAGATTTTGAGTCCCAGAAATAGTGCATCTTGCAACATATTATCTTGACCATCTATTTTCAAGATTTTCATATATTTATAGATCTACTTGATTTTGACCATTTTTGGAGTTTAAAATTTTATAATTTTGTATGAAAATAGATTTTCAGATAATCCTAAAAAAATTTTACACTAAAACTACATGTTACGATAAAATTTGGAGGTGCGCCTTAATTGGATTGTTTAAGGTCGCAACCTTATAGAAACCGCACCCTAATTTAAAATAAAACAGTTTAGGCATGACAATATGGATGAAATTATCCGAACAGTGCATTTCAAAATACATTTAGATTAATAGCAACTACAAATAAAATATGTGGGTGACAGCACATGTAATGTATCACTTTTTGTACAGTACTAGCAATTATATGCTATGTTGGCCCAACACTGTCTAATACAAATGGACCGCATGGATCACTGAGACCAGAACATTACACTTTTGGAATGCATCTAAGTATATCAAGTCTAGACCAGACCAGTAGTCCAACAGGTTGATTGTTGATCGATATCTTTGCCAGTTTGGTCTTGAGTTAAAAATTGGCTTGGTAAAAAATTGTTCGAGCCAATGTTTGACTAGTCCAACTAACTGGTTTGGACCACTTCGACAAGCCAAACAAAGTGGGTAATGTTTTTCTAATATATTACATATCTTTAATCTATTATTTATTTTGAATATTTGCATAATTTGATCAAACCAATTCAATGAACCAAACATCTTATTAATTTAATGGATATTAGTCGGTCCTGTCGAGAGCATTGCTTCTAACGGCATCTTCTAATGGTTTGCAAGGCTAATACACCATGTATCTTCATGACCACGTTAGATATGTGGTCATGAATCCAATGTAGTAGCTTTTAATGTGTCTTTTAATTGAGCCGAAGAGAGCGGGCTTCATAACCTAAATTATACGCAGTCCCAATCTCTCACACCATGCAAATCGATCCTCTATGTCACCATTGAATGGAAGGTTATGGTCCACAGGATCACGTATACATAGAAGGAAAAGGAAAAGGGCAAAAAAAAAAAAAAAAGCTATTATGGCTACCCAATGTTTTAAACCAGCAATTTTCGATTTGGATGGGAACTGGTCGAGATCGAATCGGCTTTGGAAAGGTATTGGTTCTGACTCAATTCCCCTCTAAAACCCGCTTACAACTTTTTGATTTTCTCTTTTTAACTTATGTAATGGTTTTTTAGGTTCTTTCTAAATCCCAAGCTATAAACAACTATTTAATTCTTTATTTTTATTTTTTTTTAATATTTTTTAAATCACAGATACAGACCGATTCATACTTGATTTGGATCGTCAATCTAGTGATCTGACTCATATTTCTAAATAAACAATCCGCCCCCCCCAATCCAGGTTTTGAAATAGGTTACCAAATGAAGCCTATCCATCCAATAAATGGAGAGAGAGAAAGAAAATGTTACATTGAAATCGATAGAGAGAGAAACAAAGGCAGAGACAATGTTACATTGAAATCGGTAAAATGTTTTGTAGAAATCAACAGGTAAGTCGTTTCTAATGAGCAACTTGAGTGTCTAAAATTCCCTAGATGAGAGTGCTTCGATGTTGAAAAACTCTTTAATATGATCCTCCCTACTTTACTTTAAGATGTACAAATATGAAGAAAAAATATTTTCAACTCCTAAAAATAGTTGTAATATATCATTTGAACTGTTTATTTTCAAGATTTTTAAGTGACTATAAATCTGCTCGATCTATATCATTTTAAAATTTTTAAATCTCATAAATAAGGATGAAAATCTATCTTCAATTATAAGATTTGCGAACACATGAACTACATCTCTAAAAAATCTAGAGATGCATCTTATTTCTACAGTATGAGGATGATGCCTTATGCAAACCTCACCCTATGTAAAAATTGCCACGGATGCTGTGTTATTACATGCTTGTGTGTAGTTATTTGAGATCCTCTCTCTTTCATGACCATGGACAAACATGCATGACCATGGTAGACAATGGTGGACATCATTTGCGTTTCAAGCAGCACACAAGCAACTTCTCAATTCCACAATACAATGAGATAGGGATTGGAGACCCCTAAACCCTTATTTTTTATATTGGACGGTAGAGGAGTTGCTAACGTACTGTTTGAAACCAAATGTACAGCATTGAGTATTAACCCAAAAAACAAAATTGCTTTCAATTTTGGATGAAACTTCTATAAGTTAAAGGTTTTATAAAAACAAAATAAAGCTTCACCTCAAATCCTTGTCTAGAAAGCACTTTCGGCAATATAAATCTCATTGATGGCTCTAAAATCAAATTTTAAATCCGATAATAAAATTTGAAACTCAAAAAATGGTACGGATCTTACGGATCTATGAACACCTATTTTTAGGATGAAATGTCTAGACTATAATTTGTTATAATATACACTATTTTTAGAGCTTGAAATCCTAATTTGTTTTCACAATCATAATATTTAAGCCAAGATGGTCGATGTAAAGGTTTTTCAATGCTTGAATTTCAAATTTTGATGAGTTACGAGGTGAGGCCTTACTTGTTTTGATAGGGCTGCAGCTCTACCAAACCATTTTCCTTCAATTTTTCAAAGAAAAAAAAACCAAGAGTAGTCCTGTATTTTCACAACAAAAAAAAAAAAAAAAAAGAAAGAAAAGAAAAAGAAAGCAAAGGTATTTATGCAAAATACAAACTCACCTTCCCCTTCAACCACTCTGCAATAGAAGCTTGCACTTAGTGTTCCGCCACCCGCCACCCCACAAAGCCCAAACCTCATTGTCTTCCCGCCAAATCTCGACTGTCGAAAATTTGAATTCAAGTTTCCCGCCATCACAGCCTCCAAAACCAGCTCACTCAAGTCCAACTCAAAAGCCCCAACAATCTCACACCCCTTTGAATCATCAGATAAAACCCACAACCAAAAATTGCTTAATTCGTCGGAGAAGTCGGAGTAATGAAGGAAAACTTCGTCAAACTCAGCAACTCCATGGACTACAGAGATTGGATGGGTCTTTTCTAGAGGGGAGTTTCTGCTTCTTCCCCAATTGACAGTGAGTTTGAGGCCTTCGATGGAAGAAGGGAGGCCTCTTATGTGGTGGATTTGAAGGCAGATTATGAAGGAGGGGCAGCGGTTTTGCCGGAATCCAACGAGTTTCCATAGGGGTTTGCTGTTGGGGAGAGAGAAATTGTGGGGGGAGTCGCCGGAATCCGGTGACTGGGTGCCGGATTTTAGGGCATGGGTTGTGTTTGGCATTGTTTGGGGGAGAGAGAGAGAGAGAGAGAGAGAGAGAGAGAGAGAGAGAGGTTTTTGGTTGGACACTGAGCTACTTGCTATGAAGAGAGGAGTGTGGGTTTGTATTTGAATAAAATGGACCAGGCTTTATGGTCCCTAATGTGACTTTTTCCTAAGCTTTGCATTTAAATACCCATTTAAGAAAGTATGTGTTGTGAATTGAAGGGGAAATGGCGAAAGAGCCCTTACTTTTTAGTTTTTACTGCATTAGACCTCAGGGTCATGTGCACACAAGGGATTGGATGAATGCACGCACACGTGAGGAGAGGGGAGAAATTACTATATGTTTTTCTGAAGTTAAAAAAAATTAAGAACTACCTAAGAAAAGTTATTTTGATGCTCGGATATCCTCAAATTGAACATCTTGACATCAAGATGCATGGACATGAGAAAAAAATAGATTTCAAGTTTTAGAAATAGTGCATCTTATGGACCGTCAATTTTCAAGATTTTTATAGATTTGCTCGATCTACACTATCTTTAAAGCTTTAAATTTTATAATCAAAGATGAAAATATATTTTAAAGCTATCATAAATATTTCCAGAATTGGAACCATATTTCTCGACGCCATTTGAAGATACGCTTTACTTTGATTGTTTAGAACCTCGGCTCTATTTAAACCTCACCCCATAAGAAACCATCGAGAATTGCATGCAAATTGGCCAGGATTACATAGAAATAGGGCTGGCACTGGGTCGGCTTGAAAAACTAGGGCATGGGCCATAAGATATGGTCGGAGTGTTTGACCACCAATGCATGAGCCCAGCCCAGTATTTTATCTTATTTTTTCTTTTCTATTATATTAGACTTGGCCTTGGGCTAGGACTCAGCCAAGGTTCTTTCGCCCCAGGGGCCGGCCCTATTACGACCCAGGCCGGCCTCAGGCTAGGGCCAACCAAAATAGGTTATGGGGGAGAGATAGAGAGAGAAGAGGTTTTAAGCTTTTGACTAAGAGAGAGGGGGGGTTAAATGGTGTAATTGGGCAAAAAGGGCAGTTTAGGAAAAGTCCCAAATACATTAAGCCATATGCAAGCTGGTCTTCTACTTTGAAGGGAGAGAAGGCATCAAAAGGCTGCCTGTCCACCTGTAAATTAACAAGTGTTTAACATAAAGATAGGTTTATTAATAATCTAATTCGAAATAGGGTTCTCTATAGGGAGGCATAATCGTTTGGTGAACAAAGGAGGAGAGACACAATGATGTGTACTCCTTTCCCCTAACTTTCATGAAATTATGTCTAAGCACATGAGCGTGCTCATTTCAATTAATTTATTAGTTGGTCATAGTTTCAAATTCAAGCCACCAATTTAGACCAATTGGGCCCATCCACAGACTCAGTGGGTCGACCCGAACCAGGTTTTGGTTTGGTCACGATTTTATTAATATTTATTTAACTGGAGATAATTATCTCTACATTCAAGAAATAAAAATGAAAATGTATGTGACAACATCCATTGAAAAGCAAACTTGTTTATTTTAAAATAAAAATTTATCTTTTAATCATGCAAAAAGAATGTGTGATTCTAGAGCAAAGTGTAAAAGTTAAGTTTTTATTGTTTTTTCATATTTTTCATTATTTTTTTTACCAGTATGTGTGTATATTATAGGTAGATTCCATCGTGCTTCCCTTCTCTTCCTTTTTTTTATTACGTGTACTTATATATTTGAGTAATTAGGATGAATTTTCATTAATTCTCTCTATAGTCAGTGTAGCTATTCTAATCCATTATTTTAATTATTATATATATTTCAATTATTCATTTATCATTATTAAAAGGGTGTGGTTTCTATAAGGTTGCAACCTTAAACAATCCAATTAAGGCACACCTCCAAATTCTATCATAACATGTAATTTTTTTGTAAATTTTTTTTAAGATTATCTTAGAATATATTTTCATATCTAATTGGAAAATTTGGAACTCAAAACATGTTTAAAATCATGTAGATCTATAACCATATGAAAATCTTAAAAATGGACGGTCTAGACAATGTGTTGCAAGATGCACTATTTCTAAGACTCAATTTTTTTTTTTTATGTTCATACATCTTAATGTCTAGATGATCAATTTGAGGGTTTTTCAACAGTAAAACAACATTTCTGATAGATTTTTGAGGTGCATATGTAATTCTACATTTTAAAGTTGCAACCTTATATAACCTTTTTCCGTATTAAAAAGCTAATATATTTGATTTCTTTTGGATTTGTAGTCAAATTTAAATCAAACTAATTTTTAAAATTTTTAAATACAAAATATTTTCATTTCAATTTTTACCTAAAAAGTAAAGTTTTATTTTCAAATAATCTTTTTTATATTTTTCCCAGCACTATCATCGCTACTTTTCTCTCTATAATTAAAGATTTTAATTTCATTAAGAAAACATTTGTGAAGTTCCATGATTTTTAAAATTATTTAAGATTTAAATATTTCATTAAAAAATTAAAATTGTTCCAAACTAGCACAAACTTTTAATCTATAAATTTTATATTCCCATAAATATCTATGACTAATTATTATTATTATTATTTTTATATATATTTTCTAAATGGTTTGAAGTTAATTACATTGGTTTAACTAAAAGTAAGAAACCGACTTTTTTACTTTTAATTTTTTTTAAATCACTTTAAAAAAGAGCCAATTTTATCAACCTCTTGAAAAATCAAAATTTTAAAGTGTCTCAAATAAATGTGTGTGATTTATATAAGGTTACAATTTTAAACAATCAAAGTAAGGTGCATCTCAAAACTTTGTCACAAGATGTAATTTTAGTGTAAAAAATTCTTAATTATAAAATTCTGAATTCCAAAAATAGTTCAAATCAAGGAGATCTACAAACGCATAAAAAACTTGAAAATGGACGGTCCATCTAAACTTTTCAATAAAATGCTATGTTTTTCATAGTCATTATTATTTGAGGTTGTGGGTTGGGGTCAACTTTGTTTTGTTTCAAGGAGAAAGGTTCCTCAAATACGGTGGAAAATGTGTAACTTAGGCAACGGTTAGGTTAAGAAATTTTCAAAATCATTCTCTTGACAAGTTTCCTTCAACCATGTAGCTATAGGCTCACAATTACGCGAAAGAAGAGAAAATGTTTGAACATTTAATCCGTTCATAATTAGAAGGCTGTGCACCTAATCTTATCAAGTGAAATATCATTTTTATCTTGGTTTTTTTCTATTTTTTTTTATTTTTATTTTGGTGTGCGTAAATAAGTGTTGTATTAATAATGAGCTACAATTCCATCTTTTGGATATGTTTGCTGTTTTCAAAATCCCACCATTTCATTTGTAAATAAAGAATACATTGTATTGCACGGTTGAAGTTAAAAGAGTAATAAAAATTACAGTCCTTTTCCTGTTGTTCAAGTAAATTTTCATGGTTAAGACAAGTTTGCTCCAAAGTATATTGTATATCCTGTTATTATAGAAGATTTATATCGTAATTTGTAAATATGGGAAAGGTAGGAAATTGTGTCCCGTATTTTTTGATAAGTCTATGTATAGTTTAGGTGCTTCGGACTTACTTTTTATTATTGTCATATTTAATTTGTCTATAAAAGACAAGTCTGTATATTCATAACAATTAATGTACACTGAGTCTCTTTAGAGAAACGTGAGACTCTTCAAATGCTCAACTTGCATGACATCATGAACAAGTATTCTACCGAATCAAAATTTGGACTTCGTTTGCAAATGCCAAATGCCTCTTGGAATTCTTCAAAAATCACTCGCTCGGTAGAGTTACGACCTATTGTACTGAATATTCATTGGATGTAACTGCTGAGATAAGCCCATTTTAGCCATCATTGTTTTTGGACTCGGATGAGTAACTCGGACTCGGCATATTATGCCTCACATGTATTTATTTGTACATATTGTGTATCTTTAGAGGTTTAACGAAAGAAAGACCTATGTGATCTTTTATTGAGAATTTTTTTTTTTTTTTTCACCCCTTTATTTGGCAAAAAATCACTTACATGTGGTCTTTTATAATAAAATCAGCATGACAATAAAACCAAGATCTTAACAACTTGATGTCATTGAAACAACTATGCACTATGCTTGAGAATAAAAAATAAGATCGCAAGAAACAAAAGGAAGAGTGCCGAAGATTACCTCAACCGGGCTTATTACAACCCACACCGAATCACTACCATTCAATGGCGCAGGATCAACGGTCTAGCTTCAATCTCGAACCGGGAAAGCAAATTTTGGCCAAGCCACACCAATGGAACATGAACCCCTTTGATCACAAACTCAAACCCTAAGTGAATTCTATTAACAACCTAGTTTGTGATAGATGGATTTTCTTTTTGCTAAACCCTAAAACCATTAACCATAAATCCATATTTGAGAGATAGGAGAGAAGAACTCCATAACTTAAACCCTTAAGTTCCTTCTCAATGTATGAGAGAGAGATCAAACATGAGAGATAAACTTTCTTAATAGAGGAGAAATACAATGTGTAGAGATTTTTTTGGTAGAGATAATCCATTTTTATAAGCTTTGAATAAGATTAAGGTTTCTTAGGATTTTCTTTGACTTGTCTCTTCTTATGAGATTAAACATAGACTGTCAATAAATGATGACTTGTAGGGTGAGAGATTTGAGTCATTTATTCCATAGATGAACCATCAACATTATGGAAGGTGCATGAACCATTATCTCCTTTTCCTAAACCATTTTCTCATCAATAGAAATTAAATAAATTAAATCTAATCAAAATATTGTGCGTACTAAAAAATAGCACAAGTCTACTCAATCTTTCCACAAAATCTTTCAAAGACATATCAAGTCAATATCTTCCGACCATATGGCCATATGCCATATCACCAAAAAATAAGAAAAAAGAATAAAGGTGGGGCGTGCCACCCAAGGGAGACACTCATGGGTCCCACCTTCTAAAAATATGGCAAGCCCATGTGCACAATAGGCTCCCATGATATTTTTATACATTTAAAATTATTAAAAAGATTTTAAAATATTATTTGAATATTTAAATCATTGTAAAATCAATGTCTTTAATTTTATAAATCCAAAAATTATAAATAAAATATCTAGGGATTCATAAAAATTCAAATAATAATCTTAAAATAATTTTCATCATAAAACAAACACAATTAAATTAATTTAATGAGAAAATGATCATATGGTTCAAGAATCAACAATCATGAGGCACTCCACCTTCAACTGTGAACTACAGACCACACTTGCTTTATCAGACCGACCCAGTGTTTTCCATGACCCACAGTCCAAGCAGGAGCTCATTAGCGGGTCACCAAAGTCCGACCGATGAGCCAAAAGATCGCAATCTCAGTTTGTAGAATTCAGGTCATCCCCTAAAAACGAGTCAATGTTACCTAAACCTGATGCGACCATAACTCCTATGGTGCATAGGGGTATCTCTCATACATGCATACGCTTCACCCTAAAAAGTGAATTTCTGGCTTTCTCGAACGATCTATCGATATACATGCCGTGTGATGACACATGGATAAGGTTTTGGACCCCGTCTCTGTAGGCCACCATCACACACAAAAATCGCAGTCTCTCATCTCACTCATCCAGGCATATTCTCCGACCTCATCAAGAACTAACCCATTAGAACCCTTCTCGATTTGTTCTTTATGCACAGGTAGCATGGGTTTTTTCCAACCGACTGACTTAGATCGTCAAGCACAGTCCGGTATCTGCAAACATCGTTTGTTTAGTATGATCCACGAGGGAACACACTCCCACTGAATTCATGTTTCACTATATCATTTCATTTTACAAGCACTCATAAGGCCTTTAAAAACCACATAAACCCAATATTTCCCATTTGGCCTTACATTATCTCTCACTTTTTCTCATTCCCATCCCTCTCTCTCCCAATTACAATCTCTCTCAAGCATTTTTACTTATTCTCTCAATACATTAATCATGGCTTTCGCCATCAATCTTTTCACAAAAAAATTTATAAAGACAACACATTTTTCTCTTTGCTGCTCGAATCTCATCTAAAAAATAGTCGTAACTCATCTTTCATATCGCATCGTGAATCATAGACCTATTGTTGCAAAAGACCATCACGTATCCTTATCGTATGGGGTTATATATTCATGGGTTCAAAAGAGTTCTTCAAATAAGCTGATCCCTTTTGTAGCCATACAACCAGCACCAAACATTTGGGTTCTATGGGTTAACATTATAGTCTGTTGTTCCATTTGACATGTCAAATACTAACAGGTGCTCCCACTGAGATGCCTAATTTATTTGGATCTCGATCTTTCTCAATCTCATCTCATTTCTCAGGTGATAAAAACATGGTTTTATATGCTTGAAATTATTATGGAATCGTGACTCCTTTGATAGACATATCGTTACCAAGCTGTCGCAAAAAATTCTTACTGCCTCACAACGCACGAGGTGAAAGTCAAGTTGATTAATATATTTTTTAATCCATACGACCTCCTCGATCACCAAATAACACGCCGCGTACTCTGCCTTCATGGTGGACAATTTCGTCACATCCTATTTATTTGATTTCCAAAAAAATGCACCCCCTCCAAACATGAACACATATCTAGATGTAGACTTCGTATCATCTATATCTGTGAGATAGTTTGCACTTGTATATCTGAAAATCCAAGCAGCTAAAAAACGTGAGACTGTAGCAACTCCCACTGAATTATTGCACATACAACATATACATTTTCAACATTCTTATGAATATATCATGAGGTAGCATATCAAATTTCCTACAATATATAATTCAATATCCGTTAGTTTTACAATATGCAAAAACCTTCATGAACAACAAAGATTTAACCACACTAAACATCTTGGTAGTAAATTCATACAAACTAAATTATCTAATCAACACAATATGTGTCAAGAAAACACAACATGATGGCGTTCCTACAACATTCTTTATGGATCAAAATCTTAGGTAATCGATGATTCTAAATAACTAGAAACATAAGTCAATGCATATAGATATTTAAAAAACAATAGCGCATGATAGTTTTTCTCCCACTTTTATAAATACCTTCAAGACAAAATGTGTCAAATTGGATCACTTAAGATGTGTCACGAAATATTGAACTTTTGAATTTAATAACTGACTAAACTCCTTGATACCAAATGTACAGGGTCTCTTGTATACTTTTCCAAAAAGACATTCACAGATGCTATATTTCCAAACAAGAATATAATAACCATCCAAAAGAAGAGCAAGCCTTTCTCTCTCTACAACACAAGCAAGCCTCTCTCTCTCTCTAAAACACACAAAACACGCACACACGATGTCTTTGATCTTAACAGCACAAGCAGTGGGTTTCCAAATGTCACCATACAATAGTTGCTTGGATACTAATTGTTTTAGTACTTAGGGGGCTTGGACATGACGGGTAAGGTGTTGACAATTGCACCACTAAGTCTTGAGTTTGATTCCTAGAGCTGAAATACCCAAGATGAAAGTACAGAATTGAGCAGCAACATAGTGCTGGGCAATATCTGTAACATCTTGGGATTGAGATTTTGCAGTGCCTCTGTAAACCTGCATATTACAACCCTGCAAACTTGATCATCCAAACAATTAAGTACAAATAATAAGGGAGAAAGGAGAGCTGGATATAAGTGCAGTCTCCCCATCTGAATCAGCTAGAAAAGGGACAGGTGCCAAAAAAGGAAAAAGTTTATATAAGGATGCAACCTTATAAT